GGGAAGAATCTCCTCAAGAGAAGGTCAACACAAGATCAAATGAGAGTGGAGGCATCACCATGATTGTTTCTACTTCTTCCTTTTGTGTTCTTCCCCTTTCTAGCATGGAGTAGTTACCTTTTTCACTTGGGTGTTGTGAAACCCTAACTATTTGCCATGTAGTTGTTGTGTGAATTGAATGATTGTTTATAGGTGTTGTTTAATTTAATGATTGAGGTATTTTTCATTATGATTGTGCATGTTGTGCTTAGCAATCTAATTGGCCATTCTAACCTAGGTTAGAGGAGAAACACCCCTTTCCAAAAGAGGTTCAATTGAGTTGGGATTCCTTGGGCTATTCAAGCCACCTACCTAGGTTAATGTAGGGCAAACCTCTATCTTGAATTAAAACATTAGGTTAATCGTGATTAAGCCGTCCAACCATTGGTTTGAGGGAGAAGGTAAGTCAACCCCCAATTGCCTTAACCAATAGGGCTACTCTAATAGCCTATAATGTACCCCTTGGTTTGGCAATTGAGAGTGTGGTCTTCGACCATAGTTGCACTTCCTAGCAGTTCACGATTGCCTTGCCAATAACTTCCCATTGGAGTCCACAAGCTATGGTAGTAGTTAAGGGGAAGCGACACCAGAGTGATCCTTCTCATCTAGAGCTTTCAAACCATTTACCTTTGCTTTGTTGTAATTTAAACCTCATAGTTTTCAACCAAAAACCAATCCGCTATATAATGTTTCAAACAATGGAAGTAGGGGTACATGGACCGACACATGTTGATATTTAAACATACTTTCCCTATATTGCACTCATATAAGGTTTATACTTGAGCCTTAGGTGGGATTTTGTTGTTCTCGATGAAAGCAAATTTTTTGGAGTCAAAAGAATTTTTGGAGGCAAAGCAATTTTTTGGATAAAACAAATTCTCCCTTATTTTTTAAAGATAAATATATTGTTTGGTAATAAATGAATTTCATAAGTTTTAGCAAATTCATTTGGAAATAAAATCTTTTTGTGTTCAGGATTTATAATAATTAATTTTCAATTCAAACTTTTGAATTCTACAAAATTAAAAGTAGTTATATCAATTTCAAGGAATTGAGATGCAATTTTCAAATGAATTTCACAAGGATTTATTAATTATAATAGAATGACATAATTATCCTCATTTAATAGTTAAATTACTTCTACATAAATTATTTGACGCCAATTAATATAGTAAGAGGAACGTCGATAAGAATTTGATTGCATCGCTAGTAGCATATACTGGTTATTTGACATTTATGCTTTGATAGTATCATTATGTTGAGAAGTCACAACTAGATTGCAGGGTTCATCGACGAAATATTAGAAAAGAACTAATGAATAGAATACAAACACACAAGAACACTTGTGATATTCTACGTATGGGACAAATTGCAGGGTTCATCGACGAAATATTGGAAAAGAACTAATGAATAGATTACAAACACACAAGAACACTTGTGATATTCTACGTATGGGACAAGAGACGTTTTTTAGAAGATCAGTTTTCAATGAATACTTTTCAGGCCGGAAGTTAATAAGGGAGTAGTTGAAAACTTTTAATTGAAGTCAATTCTCAACGTATGCCAAACATGGTTTGAGCCCGAGGAATGGCTTACGGTGGACAAATAATTCTATTTCTATAGATTTGAATATGGCGTACCAAACATAAGAATCATTTTTACAATGAATTCTCGATTCATTTGGTACCAAATGGTCAAGTGTCATTATTCACGAGAATTAACTGTGACAAACAATTAATCACGGTAAATGAAGAATACAAAACAAGTAAATTAATTACCGTAAGTAGAACTACATAATCAAATACGGGAATTTTTACCGTGACTATTAGCATACTTTTTAGTACGGGAATAATTATCGTGAATAAGTTACCGTGACTAGAAACCATTTTTCCTGTAGTGATAGGTCTATTGTACGGTCTAAGGGGGTTTTGGAGGACTTGCTCAAAAAGGTAGGACCTCTCGTTTATCCGATCGATTTCTTCATTTTAGACATTGATGAAAACGTGGATGTCCCTCTCATCTTTGGTAGACCTTTCTTAGCTACCTCCAAGGCCTTAATTGATGTGCATTGTAGAAAATTGGTGCTTAGGGCAGGGGAGGAAGAAGTTACATTCTCTACTGATGATAGCATGAATTTTTCTTATCATCATGATGATTTTGATTATTGCGAAGAGGTCTTTGACTTCATGGAGGCACTCGCATCCGCGGGTGCCCATACTTTTGACTCTTTTGAAGAGTGTTGTTTGGTAGGGACGAACAACTCGAACTCTCCGGAAGAGGAAAGCCAACTTTCGCAAGATCAAGAAGTGGAGGCCTTGCCCTTGATGCCTAAAATCCCTACCTCGTTGGAGGAACTTCCTGAGTTAGAGCTAACGCCTCTGCCTCCACATATTGAGTATGCTTTTCTGAGGGATGATGGAAAACTCCAGTCTTCATCAACTCAAATCTTACACTAGAGCAGAAGGCTGAACTGATTGAGGCCCTGAAGCGTCACGAGAGGGCGATAGCATGGAAGATCACAGATATCCGATGCGACCGACCTTTTGCTCGCACAAAATCCACTTGGATGAAGGTGCCAAACCGGCTCGACAACTGCAAAGGCGTGTGAACCCTAATCTGGAGGAAGTAGTGAAGGAAGAAAGCACATGTTAATAGTTCTTTAAAGCCTAGTTACTACATAAGTAGATAGTAGTCTAGGCTTTCTGGATACTAGTACAAAACTTCTGGATATTAAATCTTTCACAAGCAGATATTAATCAATGTTCTTCTAGATATTCGTTGCTTAATTGTTAGATACTTATCTAGGGCAGTCCAGATAATAACCTTTATATGCTTGCACCCGTTTTCCAGCTCGACTTTGTGGGTGCTGAGCTTGATATGAATCGGGGCAGATTGGCAGTATTTTCTTCGTCTTTGGTAGCAGCAGCAAAAGCAAAAATGGAAGAGGAGGTAGTTGTCATGCAGGAGGTTAGTCAAGGTACCGTGAGAGACAATAATATGTTTAGCCGCGTGTACTCCAGGAAAGGATGTAAGAAGACAGTGCTGCCAGTTGTTCAGGAGTTGGAGGTGTCAGCCGTTACATCAACTGTTGTTGATACAGTAGTTCAGCAGATGGACTCGCCGGCCATTGTGTCGACTTTTGATCAAGTGGTGGAGTCAAAGTCAATTGCCCAGGCTATGGTCATACATTATACCGACCCGAATACGACATTCACTGATGTGATGCAGATTGGTTTCCAGGCCACTGCTGCTCCTGAAGAGAGTATCAGGACATCTCCTACTACGGTAATATTTCCCTTACCAGTAGATACTAGCCTGGACTCCTAGGATATTTGTTTCTTTTTCAATGGATACTAGCCTGGCCGCCAGGATATTTGTTTCTTGTTGATAGGGCAAAAGTGTAATGCCAATTCCTATCTTATAGTAAAACCGGAAATCCGGGTATCGTCTCTGAGGGACTGGTACAACCTTTTAATTTATCATTTCTGTGGAGCAAACTATAGGTGAAAAATGGTTTGGTTGATAAACTTATTAACTAATAGCAAGATAACTAAACTAATTAAGCAAAGTAAATTTGTCGGGAGAAAGCTCTGGGAGAAACACCGGGACTCGCTACCTATCATATCCAAATTAATTCACATATTCCAATCAATTTAATCCATATCTCTACAGCCAGGATATCACTACTGTGCTAGCTATCCCTGTCGGGAATTACTACGTACTAAACAATTAAATCAAATCCTACTGTCGTAGCTCAATGACTTAATTATTTAGCCTGAAGATCGATATCCTATTTAAGACCGCATAGCATCTTATTTAATCCACTGTCGCTTCGATAAGTTACTATGTCACATGAAATATGTTCAGTTATTAGGGTTTCACTGTCGCTAATAACCTAATTAACTACAAATCATTGTATTGGTGGCCAGTCAACACAAAGCATTAAGTAATTCCACTCAATAGAGATTGGAAGAAGAGAATTATGAATCAATCATTCAAGTCTAGAAATAGCTACATCCTATGGTGTTTCTCCCAGAAATCGGGGTTTAGTTCATGATGAAACTGAGATAAATCCATATAGTTTTGATCATCATGTTCTAAATCAACAATAAACAACTGGTTCGGTCTAGAAAATCCAACCAAATAATCGCTCTCGTTGAACTTAGCTCAAGCCGCCTTGGAGAAGTGGATCGTCGATGATCTGCCCAATCGCCACTCCAATTCCCTACACTGCGCCCTGCTGCTTTTTGCCCAAAAGAATTATGTTCACTCCTCAATAATTCCCAGCCGTCTCCTCCTTTCCAACACAGCGCCCAACTCTCCAATTTTTCTTCCAAAGAAGTTTCACCCAAAGTCCAATTCTTCTCCAACTCCCTGTGCGCTCCTCTCAATTCCCTTCCCCCTTGGGCCAATTAATTCCGTGTCCCAAATATTGCTTCCCCCAGAAATTGATTCCCCAGCCCAATTATGTGTCCCAGTTAATTATGGCCGGTCCAAATAAATGGACCATGTCCACTTAATTCCTCTTCAAAGCAATTTTGTTCTAGCTGCACTCCAATCCATCAATTCCCGATCCAATTTTGTCTCTATCCAGGGACTAGGCCCATTTTTAATCGTTCGAGCTGCTAGGTCCAATTTATCGCCGAAGTAAATTCATCTGGGTCGATTCTTTCATTTTTCTAGTGCCATTCTTGTCTACTTGTTCCACCATCTTTTCATGTTTTCTTCACTTGAAATGCATCAAACTCATGGTACTAGGCGGTAATGGTTTTCAACCATTCCAAAGTCAATTGGCCTTAAAACAAGCATTGTATGTCTCAAACATATCACGAAATAATCACAATGAGCACATAGAATCAATATGTTTTCGACAATTATCACTTTTTTGTGGATACTAGCCTAGGCTGCAAGGATATTTGTTTCTTGTTGAGTAGATACTAGCCTTTGGCAATGTTTTGCAGATACCTGTTGAGGCAACTGTTGCTTCTCAAGAGAGTATCACAACATCTCCGACTACGGTGGTCGATCCTTCTACTGAGTTTCTGACGCAAGGAGAAGCAGGACCATCCGAGGAGAAGCTTATAGCAGCATCATATGAGAGGATGGAGGATAGCGACGATGATATTATCATATCTGAGAGAATTAGGACTGAGGAGGAGGCAGAGTATCTGTACTCTATCACATCGGAAGCATGGAAGGCAACCCTAAAAACTCCAGAGTTCGATAGGTCAAAACACCACCCATTCGGCGAATCAGTGTACGTTCTGCCAAAGACTCTGTCGACGAAACTCGATGATACGGCTCTGCAAGTGGTTGAGTTCATCTTCAGTACCACTGCTAAAGACGAGTAAGCTGACTGAGGACTTATTTAATCACCAATTTTAATTTGTCCAACACACATTTCTAACCTGATTTTCATTTGTGTTTTACAGTGGTAAATTTTTCGTGGATACTCCAACCGGTAACCTTACCCGTTCCCAGCTACTTTCATTGAAGGGTAAAAATTGGCTGCATAGCCAAGTACTTGTAGTATACGGGATATTCCTAAATAACAAAGAAGTACGCAAGGAGGTGGTGTAGAGAATTGTCTTCCCATGGAGCTATGTAGTAAGTATTATCTTCACTACTTAGATCCTAATTATATTAAAAATATCTAATTTGATATTGTTGTCTCTTCTAAATAGCAACATGTCGTCAGTAATGCTGTCAAAAAACAACTCGTGGACAAGGCGAGACTCCCTGCGTATATTTCATGCATAAAAGGAATCCAATTCTGAAATGCGAAAACTGGGAAAGTTGTGATTACGTAAGTGTCTTCAATGTTTGGATTTTTTTCTGATTTTCCTTGATATTGGTCTGGGTTTATAAGATATTATTCTGGTTTGTTGAGATATTAATCTGGATTGTTAGGATATTAGTCAATGGTTAACTCACTAACTGCTTTGTGTTTCAGATCTTTTTTCCAATGTATCTAAATGATCACTACTGGGTGTACGTGGCTGACATGAAGAATATGAAGACTTTCCGTCGTGTAGAACTGCGGAGAAGTTGTACGAGGAGCTAAGGTGCTTGTTCCTGATTCCCACTCCCTCCTGACATGTCTTCGAAAGAAGCGAGATCGACAACAACACAGGAGCCACATCATATAGCTTCGCCTTGAGGACATCCAAGCATAGGTTATCCACCCTTGGTTCGAACCAATAGCTGCAGCTGGGGATTGTATTTGTGGTGAATCCTCTCACCATAAGGAAGTCCACCAAATGAAGCTACCAAAAACGTGTATGTTAGAAAAGATATCCCAATAAAAACAACCATTATCCAGGCAGCCCAGACTAGTACCCATTCATGCTAAAAAGATACCTTGTATAAAAATAACTAATATCCCAAGAATGCTGATAAATATACACAACTTTAAACTATAACTTACCATCAAGAAGTGGATATCCCCATTAACCCACTACATCTTTGTCCCTTCGCCCTAGCAACAACTTCTCTTTTTTGGTAACAGTCAGCTCTACCTTTAGCTCCCGGGCGACATGAGCACTCCAATTAAAAGTTCGAATTTCCTCAACCCTCCCCGCCAAGTACTATGCATAGTCGAACTTACAGATCTGGGAGCTTGCTGGAATGAGCAACGAACCAAGAGCCACAAGTAGGAACTACCTCACTACAACTGCAACAGGTGGTCTCCTCCTCCCCCCCCCCCCCCCCCCCCCGACATTTAGTCGACTTAGTCAACTCCACAACTTTAACATTTCGTTCCCGATTACCCTCCATGCTGAGCTCCTCCTTCAGAACCTTGAGCATCGACTTATTTGCCTTCACAAGATCAATCTCAGCACCACCAAGAGGAATGTCGTATACACATGCAGCATCCTCATCTTTGATGGTGAGCACCTGTTGCAGGTCTGATGAACAAAGATCAATGAGCCAGAAGGTCAAGCATACAACAAACAATCCAATAAGCATACAATAAATGGTGAGCACCTTCTTGTTCTCGCCTTCCCCAAAAATGAAGTTGTTGGTGCGCATGTCGTAATGTGCCCTCAAGGTAGGCAGAAACATCTCCTTAGGAACATTGACCAGCCAAAGCTCAAATAGGCCTCCAAATCCAGCCTTCTCGATCTCTCTCTTGCAAGCTTGATAGTACCGTGGATCTTGCTTCCAGTCTTTTATAATTGACAGCACCTTCTTGGTGCTACAGCAAAATCTATATCGCCGCCCTCCTCCTCCTCCTTCAGCAACTTCTTCATCATTTTCTTCGTCCCCATCGTCTTGGTCATCATCGTCTTTGTGCTCAATTTCTGCATCCTCAAAATCAAATTCTTCTTCCTCATCTTGTTGTTGTTTAGCACGTTTAGGCCTCGAGGTTTCGCCTTCTGTTTTTGTCCTCCTTGCTGCAGTAGCTTTAGTTCTTGTCATTGTGATTTTCCTACACAGTAGAATATCCAAATTCGTCAAACAACTATCCAGGTAATTCACAACTGATATCAAGCTCAACCAAAACCAATATCACCGTAGGAATATCAAGATATACCAAAAAGATATCCAAGCAAATGAAAACTGATATCCTGCTTGAACAGAACTAATATCGGACCCCAAATACACAAAACCCATAACACAAGCAACCCAGATCCAGTCAAATCAGCAAAAATTAAAAACGGGTTACCTAAAATTGTAACCAAGCACACCAGGGCAATACCCAAACCTGTCACCACTCGTATCCATGAACCCCAACGAAACCTAAACCAAAAAGAAGGAATCACACAACCATGAAAATGAATCCCAGACATCCAGACGAACCCCAACGAACCATGAACAAGCCGAGCCAGCCAAAACCCCCAATCCATGAAACCCTAAATACTATCCATGCAAAACCTAAAACGAATCTATGAAATCTAACAGTCTTAAGTACGAATGAAGCAAGGGGAAGACGCATACCTTATCAGCGTAGTCCTTGTCTCGCTACCGTCACCGTCGCACTGCTGTCAAAGCAGTCGTCGCAGCTGCCGTGACCGCCGTCCTCGCCGCTATAGTCAAAGTCAAAGTCACCCTCGACAAGCACCAACGCAGTCGTCGGCGATGTCGTCACACACCGGATCGAGGGAGGAAAGGGAGAGGGAGAGAGAGGAAAGGGAGATGTAGAGGAAAACCAACGCTTTTTAGAGAGAAAGGGAAAATATCGAATGGGGGAGGGTTTTGGGTATAAAAATTTTGAAAATTTTGAATTTGGGGGCTCGGCGGGCCCCATTTTCTTTCCTGTGGGCCTGACCCAATCGATGGTCTCAGCTCTTCTCCCTCACATACTGGCGCGTTTTCTCCTCCAAAAATGGTGACTTGGCGACGTGAAGGCCCATTCGACCCTGTTAATATCTACTAACAAAAAACCCCTATTAGGAGGATAACTAAATTGCATTTCCAGATATTATCAATTTCTCCCTCTGTAAGCCTAAAAATTGGGATAAATCCCAATTTCATCTCACTTCTATGAAACCGGCCCTCTCTCTCTCGTTTATCCGTGCTTGCTCTGCTTAGTTTTGCTTGCTATGCTTGCCTGTCATCGCCGACAACCGCCAAATCCCTCGGCAATTCAAAGGCCTCCCTGTCTGTCTCTTTATCAATCTATCTACTATCCATCTGCTTCCTTCCCTCTTTGTTTAATTTGCCCCGGCCCCCTCTTCTCCAGTTACAATACGTTATTCCTGTCGCCTTACCTCGTCAGGTTCGTAACATTTTTTTTTTTTTGGTAAGAAGGTTCGTAATTTTCTTTTCTCCTTAACACCAGACCTGACATTTCTTTTCGAGCGGGGCCAATCCATGGGTGGGATTGGCTGAGCTTGGTTTCTGCTTCTGACCCTTTTCCATGAATTGAATGCCTGCTTTAACCAATTGGATTGCATTACAATCAACTATTCTTTTGATTCTCATGTGTTCGATCAATTGGGAGCTTCTGCCCACCTTTGCATTTCCTTTGGCTTCTTTCGTTGTGGAGTGAGGCCTTCTACTTAGTTTCCCGCCGCCGCTCCCCAAATTCGTTCTATTTAGGGTTAGGCTAGGCGGCGCTCCTCTTTATTTGCGATTTGTCTAATTTGCTTTCTGGGTGTTTTTGCCCGCTTCATTTTGGGTTTTCCTTTCAAGTGTTCGGTTCCGCTAGAGTAAAGCCAGGGGACTTTTTGTTCGCGTAGCTTTGGTGGTGCGTGGCCCGTGGAGCAGTTGTTTCAACATGCTGTTTCTACCACCTATTAGTTATGCTAGTGGATATAGATTGAGTTTTGAATCGTTGGCATGCTGTAATAGTTCAATCTTTGAAATAAGCTGTTGGCATTGCAGATGTTGGAGATGTTGAAGTTGGAGATGTCACAGCAGAGGTGGTCTAGCCAACTGACTAGTGGGACGGTGTATTGTTGTGGAAAAATGGTTAGAAATCTGGGCTGGATTTCACACTGACTGAGCGTATGGCATGAGTTGTGCTATGTTGAATAATGTCTCTTCATGCCGTGTCACTCTTAAAGATGATACAAAGCTCTATTAACTAGTACCGAAAGGTTATTAGCTTCTTTGGATTCTATATGGAGTTCATTGAGCTACTTGCTGCTAGGAAATTACAGCAAAGTCGAGGATGTACTAGGGGTGGCATTGAGCTTCCTCTGAGGGTCTGTATTCATATTCCTTAGTAGGAAAAAGTTATAGAGAGCTGTTGTTGAATTCCTGCAAGGTTCTGTCATGGCTGAAATCATAATTAGGACTTGAGGTTGTCTTTGCTAAAACTATATTTCTGTAACATTTGTTTTGGACATTGAGCTTGGTTTAAGTGGAAACCTTTACAGCATTGAAAAAGTTGTTGGATTGTGGTGTCTAGTAAGGTTGCTCCAGTTGGAATGTGATATGATACATCTGTTGGAGCATTTGCTGATTAACTATTTGCTCTGCATTCTCATGGGTGCATAATGTGCATGGTTTTTTCCCCCTCACTAATATTTTGTGCTGCATGTTTATCTTGTTTACAATTTTACAGGGTGTAGTGCTGATAATTTAACAGTCAGTGTGGACCTTATTTGAATGACGTTTTGGCCCAATATTGGATTCAGAGGATACGAGCCTTCCAGTTGTTGCAGCTGTATGTGTCTGTTGAGTGTGCCCTGCACCTTGTCTTAAGCATTTCGCAGTGGACGTCCTTAAATTTTGATCTCTTGGTCTTTAAACATTACTCTCAAATGTCAGAAGTTGACATGGCAGTCATCAAACCTGAGGTATGCTTTTCTACTTTTCTGTATGTTATTATAAGTTTTCTAACAAATGCATGATGTTCGTCTTATCACACTGGTATCTGAAGTTGAATGCTTTGGTAACTAATTTGGGGCACAGATTTGTTTGATAGATGACCGTTATCTCAACTTGTGGTGCGTTACTCTGGATTTTACAGATGATGAAGTCATATATCTGGCTTCAAACTGCTGATGGTTCGATTCAACAAGTTGAACAAGAGGTTGCCATGTTTTGTCCTATGATATGCCATGAAATAATGCAGAAGGGCCTGGGATCATCAAAGAACTATGCCATATCTCTTCCACAACGCGTCAGTCCTGCCATGTTGAGTCTGATTCTTGACTACTGTAGGTTTCATCAAGTACCAGGTCGTTCAAATAAGGTTGGTCATATACTGCTTCTCTTATCTTGTTTGGTTGCTTCTACTGCAAGTTGGCTTCTGAAATCCTTACACACTGGTCTTACTGTCTAATGGTTGTATCAAATTTAATCATTAACTAAATCTCTGCTTTTTATTTGGCTGACATTGCTTTTGCATAGGAACGGAAATGTTTTGATGAAAAGTTCATTCGAATGGATACGAAAAGGCTTTGTGAGTTGACATCAGCTGCTGATAGCCTCCAGCTTAAGCCTTTGGTTGATCTAACTAGCCGAGCGTTGGCACGGATTATTGAAGGGAAAACACCGGAGGAGATACGTGAGATATTTCATTTGCCAGATGATCTGACAGAGGTGCCTGGTGCTTTTTGAAAGTTCCTTGTCGAATTTAATGTATTATCATCCTATAATTCCCCATTTTGTTATTTTAGTACTGATCTTATTTGTTTAGGAAGAGAAGTTGGAGCCTTTGAAAAACACAACTGATGATCCCCGGATTCGACTTTTGAATAGATTATATGCAAAGAAGAGGAAAGAGCTAAAAGAAAGGCAGAAAAAAAAGGTGAAACTTCGCTTTGCATGCTGCTGAATTTTATCCACCTCCCAACTCCCAGTGCTTTTCATTGTCAAGGGTCTATCTCTGATGTGAAATTACAATGTTTATGTGGATGTGTGTGCTGTGCTAGAATTGACTTGATTGTTGATGATAAATAGGCATTTCCTTTTGCAGAGTGTCGAGGTGGAAGATGGGTGTGTGGACGAGCGATCAGTTGATGACCTCTTGTCATTTATTAATGGAGAAAATGCAGGTGGAGTTGGCAAGGCAACCCTAAAGTAGTTTAAAAATTATCTTTCTTTTAATCGTTCTCTATCAATCAGGAACTTAGAACTTCGTGTTTGGAATGACTGTTTAATGATATAATACCTAAGAGTACATGATGTTATCTTCTTATTATACACTCTGAAGATAAGTACTTAGGACTTCGGTTGTCATCCAAAAACGTTAGGCAAGAGTCAGATTTATTGGTTGTGTTGCATGAAAGGAAACTGTTAATTATATTAATTTATGCTTTTGTTGGTGTTATCCCTTTTATTGCCTTCCCTTGCTGTTTATGGAAAAGGCTTGACTCTCCGTAGGTCAAAGGGAACAATGAATCAACAATGGTTAGAAAATGATATAGGGAAGGCGTTTTGGTTAAGTTTATGCCATGAATACCATTATTGAGTTGCTGGATGTGGAGAAACGATGAATAGTCTCTTGCTAGGCAACACGAATGGTTATAGCAAACAATTGGTTCCATAATATGATAGATGACTATTTTTGTTTGCCCGAAATAATGATTTGAACAAATTTATAGCAAAGGAAAACTGTGGAATTTGGTTCATAGATGTGTTTTAAGATAGTGAGATAAAAATAATTTACTCTGTCTTTGCTGTAGTGTTTTGGTGATTTATAAAGTGTAATTTTGTTCAGTGGGCTCTGTGGGCCACACCTCATTCCTGTACTACCTCCTCTAAACCAGTTCCATTAAAATAGAATTCATAGCAAGGTGAAGTTGAGGATACCTTAACTGCAGCCTTAGCTGATTTGCGTTACTATTTTGAGGAACGTGACAAAGGGTTCTTGTCAGAGTTATTTCTGCATAAAGTAACTTTTGCACCCAGTAGTTGTATCTATTCTTTCTTTTCAATATATTAAGACAACTGTTTGCTGCAAGCATATGCACTTGTATTTCAATCTTGTATCCTGCGCTCTATCATCTGGGCGTTCTCATTTGGTTGTATGGTTTTACAGATTCCAAGGGAGTTCGAACTTCAAAAAACAAAAAGAAAAACCGTCGGAGAAGGGATCCTCAAAAGCGCACTTCCATTGATCAAGTTGCTGAATCACATAAAAAGGTTGGAGAATTTACAGCTTTGGTTAATCTTCTGATTTTCTAGCCTGTGATCTGTTAAAGAATCATAAAAATAATCTTGGTTTTATAATTTTACTTGTGTAGGATTCAAATGGGTTGGGTTGTTTAGGCCACACCACTGGGGGTGATAATGAATCACATTCTACACTAAGCGAAACATCAAAATTGCAAGATATAGAAGATGACATTTTCGATCATAAAGTGGAGCTTGATGACGTTGATATTGATGATGAAATTGATCCCGCATTAAAGGAGGAAATTGATAGGTGAGCAATTATAGGTCAAGTAGTTCTTACTCAATATGTTGGGATGCTAGTTGTGAAAATTGCTGATCTACCCTTTTCAGTTGTGATGTTGATATTGATTGAGTTGCAATTGGACGATATCAATTTTGCCTCTAAATCCTGTTTGAGACAGGTCCCTTTGAATATTCCTGGACTGTTGCAGACATTTATCATTTAAAATTTGCAGGTCACAGCTCTTAGTAAATGTTGAATGAGTTTGGCTTTGTCGGGTTTATGGATCTCAGAAAGTAACATTCATCAACTAACTATTCATCCCAGTAGGGCCCCATCACAAATATTTACTCTGATGTTGCGGGCGTGCTTCAATCAAACGGTTGCATGTTTGTTTGTGCTAAATTTGTGATATCACAATGATGTGGTTTCCCTTTGGTGGTTGTGACCAAACATATATGCCACTGTCTTTGCTTCATGGGTTCTAATGCGTGCACACCTTTTATGCAGGGAGGTGGAAGATTTTGCAAGGAGATTAAATTCAGACTGGCCTGAAAGGATGCAGGAGCTTCTGTCTTTGGGTCAAGATAGGAGCCCTGTTCACTTTTCCAGTAATGGCAACGGTAGCTTGAGAAAAAACCGAAGTATGTGGTCTGCTTCTCTTTTGCACTTGTGAGATGGTTTTTTCTTTCTTTCCTTTTTACCGTTTTGAATCCCATCTAGGAGATTTGATGGTTGAGAAGTGAAGTAACTGAAAGTATGTTATCGGGTGGAGATAAGCAGATGAAGAGCAGAAATGAGATTCAATGGTAACTGCTGCTGCTGTTGCTTACTCAGTCAGGCAAATGACTGTACCAATTTTGACGAAAGAAAGAAAGAAAGACGGTGCGGGTTAAATGTGGATTTACCAACGGCGCCGCGAAGTCCTGGTTATTTGTCATAGCTGAAAATGCGGGCTGGAGCTGGGTGGGATCCCTGTGCAAGCAAATTCTTGAGAGGGTCAGAATTCCAGAAGGTGGTGATGATTTTTTTGTTCTTTTTTCTTTTATTTCTCTGGTGAAGGAAAGATGAACAAGAGGAAGAAGTGGAAAGAAGAGAAGAATTTGGGTTTGTGCTTAATTTTTGACCGTTGGGGCAGATTAAAAGAAAGAAAAACAACTCGGACTTTTCACGGAAAGCCATAAAAGAGAGGGGGGGACAGAGAGATAATATGATTATTTTGGGTTTATTTGTTTCTCCTTGAGAAGGGAAAGAACAACTTTCAGATGACTTCGTACAGTACAAGGGTAGATAGATTAGAGTCTCTTTCATGTGCTTTTTTTCTTCTTCTTTCTTTTGATTTGAATTTTTGAGCATTACTATTCGTCGCCTTAAATATTTGAATTTATCGACCTAAAACATATAAAATTACAAATTTGTCCTTATACCGATTACCCTCCGTTCTCAATCCAACCACCGGCAATGAACTCCTAATTATACCAGAGGACATCATTAAGCTGTTTCTCCTTGTCCCTCAACCCAATTACCACTTAAAATCTGAACTCTTAATTATACCCGACGGACGTGATGCCGAAGCAGATGGTTGGGTAGAGGATCGAGTTTGGGGACAGGAGAAGCACGACGTCGCCCTTTTGGACTCCGATGGTGGAGCAGAGGCCGGTGGTGAGGGATGTAATTGGGGGTGGGGATTATATTTTTGTTACTATTAAAATCAGGGATAAAATTGTCCATTTGTACAGTTTAGTGCGAAAAAATTTAAATTTTAGAGCGACGAATAGCGATTCAGGAATTTTTTAGGGGGATTTTCTTATAATCTGAATTTGGAAAAATTTTCAATATACCACCCAAATATAAAAAAATAAAAATAAAAATATCACTCATTTTCAAAAATAATAAAAAATACCACCATTTTTCCAAAAATAGCGGCCACTATAACGGTTTATTTGAGAACTATAGGGTGTGTCACAGTTTTTGTTCCTGCCGGCTGAAAATCGCATGGCGTTGCCGAGGTCAGATTAACCGTGCACCAACTCAATGATTCGGCGCAAACGACCGCACCCCCGCGGTTTTGCCTATGAAATTTTTATTTTTCCGAAACTTCAAACGAGCGTAACTTTCCGCTCGGGTATTCGGCTGTAGCAATTTTTTTTTATTTAGCATAATTTTTTGAGATCTTGCAAGCCGCAGGCGGTTTGGTCCCGCCTTCGTGCCGAAGAACGTCGTTTGCTACCCCGAACGGGCAATCTCTCGATTTCATCAAACTTTAGATTATCATAACTTTGTGCTCCGCAATCCGAACGTCACATTTTTTATTTATTTCGCGTAACTTTTAAAGGACTACAACTTTTATTATAGCTATTTTTGCAGAATGTATGTGGATTAGTGAAAAGTAAACCAAAGTTATACCCAAAACTAGGGGTGGAAGTTTGGGTTGCGGGTTGTGGATAACCCGCAAACCGCACCAACCCGCACCCATTATGGGTAACCATACCCACAAGTTGTGGGTAGTGGGTTGGGCCTGGGTAGTAAAAGAATGATTTTTGTTGGTAGTATCCACTACCCACCGCGGTTAATCCATATTAGCCACACTAATTATATTTATTTACTGAATTAACTGTATAATATAATAGTATGTGAAAAGTGGGAGGCTAAAAAATAATGTAGCCACCATAATCAAATACGTACCTAATCAATTTTATGTGAGTGTTTTATTTTATAAAACACTATAACTGAGAGAGTGGAGAATAATCGATTCATTAAAAGTGGACACATTTAGTAATTAACTTATAACCCGACTCATAGGTCGGAATGTTTATATTTGATTTTTATATTTTTTATGTTACGTTTATGTCTATCAACCCGTTTAATTTTATTGACAATCATTCCATCGAGATGATACATAAAGAAAGAACATTCCGAGAAATATCATCATCATTTGAGAATATAAAATATAAAAATGTATCATTGACCTCATTTTCATAATGATAATTAAGTCCCCTTAAAATGCTATTGGTTAGTTGATTGTTAAGAAAGATATAGTATAAAAGTTCACTGGAATTCTCACACGACCCATAGATAGGTTGAAACTGAATCTAAAACCGCACAATCCTACATAAAATGGCTCAATGCTATCCTTTTTGGGGCAATATGTCACTAACAAAAAGAAATGCATAGTTGTTGTTTAAAGTCAACTATATAATAACAAACTCAGCTAAGAGGGACCATCAAAATTTGAGAGCAAAAGACAAAATTGTGTACCTCCAATATACTAATAGACTCGATCAAAATAATAAGACGAAAAATTAGACACTCCTTATCTATCAGTTCCAGTAGGTTGAATAAAGAATCGACCTACTTCATTAAATCAATCAATGATTCCTCGTTTTAAGATCGAAATAGGTTTCGGTAGCTGCAAAAACCATAAACCTGAAGATCCAATAGCCACCACTCTCCATTGAATAAAGAAATTTTTATCTACTCTATCTTCAATCTCAAGAAACATATGTTTCAACCAAACATTCACTTTCTAATCCTCTTTCTGCAACTCCATTTTTGCTACTTTGATGATCCTTCTCTCTGCAGTCCTCAATTTATCTTCCAATTGGGGTTCTTGTGAACTCGCACTTCAACTCCTCAATCCTCTTCCTGTGTTTTGCCAACTCATCTCCCTGGCAGCAAGACTTTGAGACGAGGGCGACGAAGGAGCACTTCCGCAGATTTGCCTTTGATAGAAAGGTCGGGAACTCCTGCCCGTCAACACGGATTTAAATACAAATCCGATACCCCGTTTCAGTTCGCACCTCATAGGGAAGAGGTTAGTTCGAATAGGACGTTTACTAGTACTAGGATTCCCAGCACTACTAGGATACGAGGGGATTATTCTCTTCCGGTAAATATTACCAAATCCATAATGCCTCAACAAACCCGCAAAATCAGGGATAGATTGTGATCCCATCGTTACCACTCGGTGACCCAACGTTCCAAGGGTCTGTAGAGTGGATTTCCCTGACGGCGGCCACAGAGTCTCCGGCAGGAAGGCAGGACTGGGACGCTGGAGTATCACTTACCGGCCGGTTAATCGGATGAACGAGCGAACATGTAACTGCCGACTCAGATTTTTGAGCAATCCGGCTTATCAGGTCATCATTATCCCTATTAGGGGTATCAACAGAAGTCATAGAATTATCGGGCTTGGATAACAGCGAGTCATCGCCTACCAACTCCGACGACGGAGGAAGCCAAAATCGCCAACCTCTAAGACGTACCAACCTGCACCTTTTTGCAGGCCTGAAGTTTAATAAGGGAGAGCTGTAAGAGGGAAATACATCCTCCCTCGGCTGAGCCCTCTTCCGCTTACATAGCCCCCTTGTGGGGATCATAAGATTACGGATCGGTACACGATTACACGACCCTAAGCTGGCCACCGGTGGCGCTCGTCTTGTTATGTGACGGTCTTCACATCGACCGCTTGCATACGTAGTCCACATCTCCTACGCGTATCTCTGCCCTTCGCCACTGTTGTTCTCCAAGCTGCGCAGCAGGAGAGAGACGAAGATCCGAAGCAGCCATTGACCCAGCCTGAGGGACCAATCTAAGAATGAGGAGAGAGCACCCAACATTTTTTAAAAAAAACTTTGCTCATCATGTTTTAATAGAAAACAGAAAGGGTCCAACCGGGTTCGAACCTTGTCAACAATTTCTAACTAATTCTAAAAAAATATAAAAATTTGATTATTTAGCTGGACCATAAGAATAAAAATTAATGAGGAAAATTATGGTTGCGGAGAACATTAGTTATGACAAAATCAAATATGAGTGGAAATATTGTAATTGAAAAGAAATATTTTTCCTAATTGTGATCTTATTTTATTATTTCAATAGCTAAGCAAAGAACAAAAATAAAGTATCGGAAACAAACAACCAAGATAGTAGACATGGCGCTAGGAAAGTACAACTGCCCCTATTCTACACAACATGTCCCTTGCTTTCAAACAAATATAGTACCCAAACCATCATTCAAATTCATTTCTATGGGGTTGTTTGGAAGTTGCGATAGTTTTGTTGAGATTGTCATTATGCAGTATTGTTTACAATGCATCGTTTTTTTTATTTTTTTAGCAGAAACAATACATGGATTGTTTCTGTATGTGACAAAAATTATCACTCATTTTGAGGGATTGCTATATCTCAACTTTTAGTTGTGATTGTTGAGATAGTTGAGTTGAGATTGTTTTGTCTCAGCTTTTAGCTGATGCGACATACACAATCACACATACCAAACGTCGTATTCTGCAATGCATCAAATTCGACAATACATGTATAATATTATACATGCATTCTCAACAATACATCTATTTAACAATCGCAACTTCCAAACGACCCCTATATTTTATAAATCATTCACAAACAACAAACTTAGATAAATTGGGAAGGAAATAATAGCCTACCAGTTCAAGTCGATGAACCTTATATGAAAATAGAAACCCATTGAAGTTGAAACCTAATAACAAAAAGAGCATAAATGACGCAGGAGATCCATCGAGCTTTAAACATCATATCAGGCAATAAGATCAAAAGAAATAGATCTTATGCATGTTCTGCTCATGAGACAACGTGTAAATAAAAATCGGTTTGTTATTAATCACAAAGATAAAACCATGAGACATAAAAGTCGTTTTGTTATTAATCATTACTTCTCATTCAATTGAAATGCTTTATTTGATGTCATGCTCACACTTACATATTTGATGTTATCAAATTTATAATATATTTGTATTCCAAATTTATGTGTGAAATAGAGCATATATGAATACTATTAATTATGAAGGACACTTACTACTAAAATAGTTACTTTTATCTATAAAATATACTTGAAATAGATAAAGCTAACAATTCTTATTTACACTAAGAAATTATTTGGCAATGATTTTATGCTCGAAAATATTAAAAAAGAAAAATTGTTTCAACTCTGTGCGAGGTTTTGCCACCACTTCTGCCATCTTTCAGGCCCAATAATTCTTTTCCTATACGGCTTACGAAATTGACAATATATATATGTATTCTAATTTTAATGAGATTTGATCTTATCATTTGTGTAATAATAGTTTTACTATTTTTTTGTCCATCATTAAATCCTTCTTCTGTAATTTTTACGACATTGACTACATATTTGCATTTGGACTCTTATGTACGAACTAGATAATATGTGAATGTTATTAATTATCAAGGACACTAATATTATAATTGAAAACATATAAAGCTAAATATTGCATCTCTTATTTTTAGACTAACAAACATTAAAGGCAAAATACACTTGTATAGCCATAAATTTCACGTTTGTGACAAATATAGGTTATAGCAATAACTATCTACAAACATAAAATAACCAATTCCGTCCATATCTTTAACGGTGTAACTTAACAATCTGGCCGAACTTACAAAAATGCTGAGCATGTCAATATTTCATTGGACACATGGATTAACAAAATAAAAATATATATAACATAAATGCAAATTTCTGATATAATAAAAATAAAAATAAAATAAAACATAAATGCAATATTTTGTCGCCCCCACTCCCCAATCCCCATCAATTACCCAGCAACTCCACCCTAAATTGAAGATGTAAGAAAACCCTTATGGGTCTTCTGGGTTTTTCGCCGCCGTCGCCATCACCTTCCTCTTCAACCCTCCTTTTATTCATCCAATGCCAAAAAAACCCAGCTGACGCATGTGCTAGCTTCTGCTTCTCCACTTCTCTCTTCTACTTGCCACTCCTCCCGACTTAGTCCCCTTCCCGTCGACGAACGAGTAATCCCGTCTCCCAGAACAAATGGGCGAGTCGCGCCGCCGATAGTGGCAGAGCTAGTGGTGCTGCACCATCACTCATCCTCCCTGCAAAAGCCCAACTACGGACACACCCTCCCGTCCTCCAACTACAGGCGCAAGCCCAGATCCAAGTCCGAGTTCCCTTCGAAGGCCACGAATCGCTCTCACTCGCTCCCGTACGATTCGTATGAGATCTTGAAATTGAGGGTCGTCGGCAAGATTGACCACCCGCAAGATCCTCTCGCTTGGCCGAGTCTTCTCAATCGACTCCGATCCCACTGCAGGGGAGCTCGTGGTATCCGCGGCGTCAACAGGGATGGGTGAATCAGAGTAACTGTAATGGTAACGGTGGGAGTAGATCGATGACGGTTTGCAGGATTGAGGTCGCTGATGTAGATCGATGAGGCCCCAGTAAACTTTTAATTTTGAAGGAACAATGTATTGCATGTTAGCATATCTTAGATTACTATTATCACAACTTATTGAGTTTAAATCTTACTTTTTAGTAATATATTTACCATTTTTTGTCCCATTAAGATTATGTTTTAGTACGGTAGTTGTTATGCTCAAAATAAAAAACATATACTAGGGTCACTCTATTTATGTGTGTGTTTTGTTTTTGGTTTAGTTTGCTCTAACTATTGCTATATATATTTGGAAATGCTCAAACGGAAAGGTGGATGTACTCTCTAGCTCTTTCAAAATTATGAGGACTACTGATTCTCATAAACCAGTTGGTCTCAATAACTCGAGTTGTTGGGAGAGTTCAATCATGGATCATATACCGTTTACTAACATCCCCCTCCAAACTCAAGCCATTAAGATAGACTTGGAGTTTGGACAAGCATAGGTCCGGACACCGTGTGCTTAACAGAAACAAATGGGGTCACGAGGAATCGAATAAAAAGACCTCACGGTCATAGAAGGCTCTGATACCATGTCAAGAACTAGTTGATTCCAATAACTCGAGTTGTTGGGAGATGTTCAATCGTGAATCATATACCGTTTACTAACACTGATACAATGTGAATTTTGTGGGGTTTAGTTAAATATATTTTATAATATTATATATTTGAATCTGTTAATTTCCTTTATATGTTTGTGCCTCACTAATTGGTATTTTCCCTCTATTATAAAAATCTTATTTTCTTGTTGAACATCTGGTCTGGTTATGAAAACATTGGTTGTAACATCGGTCCAGTCGCATAACTCAAAACACCACCCAACTCAAAATAGGCGAGTTCTATAGCAAAAAAACTCTCACTTAATGTTAAACCTTATTTGAAACGATAAATACGGGTGAGTTGGGTTGAATTGGACAGATGTGTCGAGTGAGGTTGTTTTGTTCACTAGGCATTTAAAACATGTTTGAATATTAAGGTGTCTTTGACAAATATAGTATGCTTTAGGTAGGCCCAATAAGAAAAGGAACTATATATATATATAAAGGATAAAATCGAAAATTAATTGTGTTATAATAGTGCCATCATGATTTCTTCCACCTACATACAGTCTACCAAAACATCATGCAAATGGCGCTTCTTGGGAGTTTGGGAATCACAAAGAACCAAAATCACACAAATAGTGTTTGCTTCACCTTTTCACCGGAGAGAAGAAGTGCAACTAGTTAGCATTAGTTTACCAGTCCACCACCACTTGTTCAATTACATAGCTTTATCTTAACTATAAAATGGCACATCCAATGGATCTCATACTGTACACCAAACCAATGGATCTCATCTTTCTTTGTTCGTTTCTCCTCATTGCAACTCTGGTCGCCCACGTCCTACAACGACGTTGGCCAAAGTCCAAAACCAAAACCAAAACCCTCCCTCCAGGCCCACCGAGATTGCCGATTTTTGGCAACCTTCTCCAGCTGGGCCAACAGCCCCATAGGGACCTAGCTTCCTTGTGCGACAAGTATGGACCATTGGTGTACCTCCGCCTCGGCAACGTGGATGCCATTACCACCAACGACCCGGACACCATCCGGGAAATCCTACTCGGACAGGACGATGTGTTCGCCTCCCGTCCTCGTACCCTCGCCGCCGTCCACCTGGCCTATGGCTGTGGTGATGTGGCGCTGGCCCCCTTTGGGCCACAATGGAAGCGAATGAGGAGGATCTGCATGGAGCAGTTGTTGACGATCAAGAGGCTGGATTCATTCTCCAAGCAACGAGAGGAAGAGGCCCAACATCTAGTCCAGGACGTCTGGGCCCAGTCTCGAACGGGGAAGCCCATTGACCTGAGGGAGGTGTTGGGAGGGTTTTCGATGAATAACGTGACCCGAATGTTGCTAGGGAAGCAGTACTTTGGGGCTGGATCTTCGGGCCCTCAAGAGGCGGCGGAGTTCATGCACATCACCCATGAGCTGTTTAGACTATTGGGCCTAATCTATTTGGGGGATTACTTGCCATTTTGGAGGTGGATTGACCCGCTTGGATGCGAGAGAAAGATGATGGAAGTCGGGAAGCGGATTGACGAGTTCCATATCAAGATCATTGAAGAACACAGGGCGTCGTCGAATAATGAAAGCAAGGAAGAAGCTAAAGAGATGGATTTTGTTGATGTTCTGTTGTCGCTTCCTGGAGAGGATGGGAAAGAGCATATGGATGATTTGGAAATCAAAGCTCTTATTCAGGTAAAAGTCGAGTGATATTTTTCTAGTTATTCGTCTTAGTCTTAGGATATGTGTTTAAATTTATCTTAATGTATTATTATGACTTTTTTCTTCTCTTGTCTGTTTGGACCATTCCATACTAAATGGGTATATGCCACCTAATACCATTTTTAATTTTAATGTGCGTATAAGTTCCTAATATAGAAATATGTTACTTATTCAAAAAAAATTACTTTCCAAAGTTTGATGACTAATGCTAGACTTTTAAATGGGTATATGCCACCTAAATGGGTTTTTGCCGGGGTTGTGTAGATTCATACGAATTAGGATTATATATATGATCATGATAAGCTCCCCATCCTTACGTATTGTATATAGAATGGAAACTTCCATAACTGTCTATTTGACGAATATATATCATGTGATCTTTTCATCATTTTGCTCCTTGTCATATATATATATATATATAGTAATGATTGTTACTTTAATTTGACTTGAGGTAGGATATGATAGCGGCAGCGACAGACACATCAGCCGTGACCAACGAATGGGCAATGGCAGAAGTAATAAAGAATCCAAACGTCCTCCGCAAGATTCAAGAAGAGATTGATTCCGTGGTGGGGCGGGAGCGAATGGTGAAAGAGTCGGACCTAACCCACCTAAATTACTTGCGTTGCGTGGTTCGAGAGACCTTCCGCATGCACCCGGCCGGCCCACTCCTAATCCCGCATGAATCCTTGCGGCCCACTACCATCCAGGGCTTCCACATTCCGGCCCAGACCCGCGTTTTCATCAACACCCACGCATTGGGCCGCAACAGGAAGATATGGGCTGACGTGGATGAGTTTCGACCCGAGAGGCATTGGCCAGCTGACGGGAGTCGAGTGGAGATCAGCCATGGAGCCGACTTCAAGATTCTTCCCTTCAGCGCCGGCAAGAGGAAGTGCCCTGGCGCGCCGCTGGGGGTCACGCTTGTGCTCATGGCTCTAGCACGATTGTTTCATTGCTTTAATTGGACCCCGCCGGACGGAGAAACTACTATTGACACCACAGAAGTCTATGGAATGACGATGCCCAAAGCTCGGCCTCTTCTTGCCGTCGCTACACCGCGTCTCGCAGATCACACCTATCACTGATCCCATTGCCTCCATTTCTAGATACTATTATATTACACAATAACCTCAAGGATCAAACCACACTTTCTAAACTAGTTTTTCTTCCTCCACCTACTTCAACCTAAAATCCCTGTATTTCTAAGTCCTCAATCGTGACTATTTAATTATAATACTTCTCTCATATTATATTTTTAATGTCAATACCTTATATTAGAGTGGTTGTGGAGAGAATTATTTTACCACCTAAAATTCAACACAATTTTTCATGTGACTTCTTTTTAAGCAATTTTTACAATAATTTCTTAACTTTCTCCAAGTAACAAAACTATTTGAACCTCAAATATGTGGGCCAAAATTATTGTTATCATTTAAAGTCTTTAGAAAATTAGTTTAACACCTACAAGAAAGCTTAGATAAAATAGTTAGTGCCAAAATTATTATTATCATTCAAAGTCTTTGTATTACACTCCCTGGCTAAATTTTTCAAAACAAATATTATTTGCTACAAATTTCATAGTATTTGTAATAGAAAGATGATCCCATAGAACAGCAAAGTAAAACATCTACTTCATTCTACCATAAATAATAACATCTGCACTACCTTGTATCACCTATAAGTAATTAGTGGCGGAGACAACATTTGAAATTATCTCTGTGCTCTTTTCAAAATATTAATATGTAATAAATATAATCAAATTAGTAATATACAAATCCATCAATGATGGTTCATTAATGTCCATTAATTTAGACTCCTTCCTCATTATTTATAGATAAAGAAATAACCGATCAATACAATTATTGTTTGCATAAACAACCAACACAAGTTTTCATATTCTGAAAGACATGCAAAATATATTCGTTGTCTACACATTAGAAAATCATTAGCAAACTGATTTTCAATTCGACTTTGAAGTTGCAAATCAAAATGTTCTTAATATCACATCAAAACTAGCTTCAAAAGCAACTAAATTGACAGATATGACTGATGCACTTTTGTCTCCACCATTACTTGAGATAATTTATCATGAACAAATTGTTGTCGAATAATAGTGTCATGAATGAAACCAATAAATTAATCAGTTTTTTGTCAATGAATGATCAAGTAATGAGTTGTGGTGTAGTGTAGTCGTAAAACATCCTTATGTTACTTGTACGTGTTATATATATTTTCCTCCAAAATTACCCATGTCATGTGATAGAGGAAATATCGCCTTGCTCCGCCTATGTGAGCAATATAGAGATGATCCCATCGTAGTGAGTGGTCAAATTAACCGTTTCGAGGACTAGGATCGTATTTCACTGAGGTCTCTCACAACCACTTACTCACGTGATGTGGGACAAGTTCTATGATTTTGAAATTGTGAGTGTGGAGGTTGAGGTGTCTCAAGGGTTGAAGTTTTGTTTGGTTTTACAACATCTAAATTAAAAGCAATGCATGAAAGGAAAAACTATTCTACTTGCTAGTGAAGGAAGCAAGAGGGCGAGGCATTGCATATGCAAGCTCCTACTATAGTTCCTTACACTCGTACTATAGATCTTGGCAATATATGAGATGTCTAATCTTTGTTAGGTTTACGCCTACCATATGCAGTAAAAAATGTAAGCTCTACTAGGAAAAGATATAAACCTTATGAAATTCTCCGTTGAGAAAGTCGATGCACTTTGATCGATTGAGGATTTATCATGGGCAGAACGTTGTGGCTAGTCTAATCCTACCCACGAAGTCAGGTTTGAGGATAGGACCTTTGAAGCCAGTCCTCCTGTTAAGCACACAATCAAATCAATAATAGCCAAAATTGAATGTTACCTAGTCTAGAACCTCTAGGTTTTGCCTACCTACGCAACTAAGAAAACTAGGAGACCATGGGGACGAGATCCGAGGGGCACATTAGTCGAAACGCGATCCTTGAGGAGATGTAAAAATCGACTCCCATAAAAGATTTTCATAGACTAGGCCGCCGATTCTAGTGCCGATTTGCCTCTGGTATCCGATCTTTCTCTAAGTCGAGTGAGTCACTCTCTCGAACAGTAACAACCCTCTAATGCCTCCTATCACTAGCTACCAAAATCCTCCTCCCTAAGTCTATTTATAGACTTTCTAATAGGATGTTAGAGAGAGGACGATCCTTTAACGCGTCTTCGAGTCCCGGTAAGCTTCCTCAGCTCGGCCACCAAGAAAAGCATATTCTTCTCCTTATTCCCACTTCTGGTTCCTAGTAGTAAGGTCTTGATGCCCCCCAACACGTACAAAGTGGCCCACTAGATTGCTATGCCTGAAAACATATGAAACACTACAAAGAGTGCACCAAATTAACAAAAGCAAGCCTTGTGCTACTAGAATGTAGTTTCAATGATCATGTAGCGAATTCAAAATATTATGACAATAAATATAAGTAAAACTTGATTTTATGATCATAATATGGGGTTCTAAAAGATTACTTTCTATGTGTCATCAAATAACCCTACACTTGGACTTTGCATGTCCCCAAGCCAACCTCACTTAAAATCCTACAACTCAATAGATCTTCACAGTGACACGTGATTTTCGATTGTAGGTATTGTATCATAAGCAACTTACAAGGTCAGCCCTTGCACTTAAAGAAGTAGACCACATCCATGAGATGCATATCACGTAAGGAAAAATTTGGCTTACCCCTATCGATCATAAGCTCTTATCTCACTCGAGAGTCTCACGAATATTTGGGGTGAAGCTCTTTGTAGCTTCATGACTTTTAAGTACATCTCTACATTTTGAAAATTGAGATTTGTTTCTCTCTTTTATGAGTAGCATGTCAATTTTTTACTTTTCGTAGCACAAGTGGGTTTATACGTAGCCTTGATCAAGCAAGATCAATTTCTCTACCTAAGGACTAGCTAAGGGCTTCGTTTAATCTTTTTCCTCGATTTGTGTGGAGAGGCAATGAAAACGAGGGGTGAAAGAAGCTTTATGCATGTATTCCAAAACAATTCTCATACGTGCTTCACTCAGCGAGGGATGTAATAGATAAGAAACATCGTATGGTGACAAATTAATGATATGTTGAACCGTTCTTATTCCTTCTGTGCAATGAGTGATTGCCTCACAAATGGATTTACCCCACACTTTATTTATGACGATTACATCTTTTATATCGCTTTGTCAATGTAGGATTTTTGGATGTATATAGAGATACAATCCGACCCCTTTTTGCTTTTAAGAGCAGAAGACACATTTTGAGGAGTATAAGAACTCACAAAGGATAGTGATAAGCACTATATCCGAAATTTTTGAATAGTATTTAGTCTCATGACGTGGACATCCTTCTAAGACATTATACTATCCTCCCTAGACCATGTCTCAATGCAAAGACTCGCAATTCAAAGTAAGATGAGCTTTGGAATTGTTGTGGGCAGTGTGTCATTACTCGAAAATTTTGAAATTTCATGCTCAAATGCACACACATATTGTCCCTCATATGCATGAACATCTATCAAGGATGTACATGAAGTGGAAGTGTAAACCCACACCACACCTTAGACAAGATAATATCATTATTGGCCCAAACAAGATAATATCATTATTGGCCCAAAATGGACAAAATGGAGGAAAGTGTCAAAGCTCACGGTCCAGAGCATATTCTCACGGTCAAGCCGTGACATTCACACTAAAACCGTGAGGATTACGCAAGTTCAAGGAGGCAGATGCATCTCGCGGGCATTTGCTAATGTTACGGTTTGCCAACCGTGACAATTACATTGAAGTCGTGAAGATTGCACACTTTTAGGAGGCCTCTATCATCTCGCGGGCGCATACAAACGTCACGATTGCAAGCCGCGAGACTTGTACCAAAACTACGAAGTATGTAAGTGATACGGTGCGAATTCAGTCAACCTTAAGGTTTGGCTACATATCTCACGAGCGTGATGGGTGACCGTGAACTTTACACTACTGGGCTATATAAAGGAGCATAAATAAGGTTTTTGGGTAAGGAGTCTAGAGTGGGAAAATGCATCTAGTGGGTAGAGATGAAAAGTGACAAAGGGGATCCCTAGGTGGAGAATTGGAGCTTCAATCACCATTGGAGTTCAAATCCATCACAAAGGGTTGAAGATTGAAGTTCAAGAGCAAGAACCCACTCCTCTAGGATGTTTCCTTATCTAGATTTGGTGTATTTCTTTCTCTCTCTCTCATCATGTGCTAAACTTTCTATCACTTGGTGTTGTGTAATTCTAGCTGGATGTGTTAGATTAGATGAACAATTCATTTCCTTCTTTGAGTTACTCTTGATTATATATAGATTTGAGGTCTTTCATGAATTGTGTGGGTTATTGATCAAATAATTCTAATTATGGCTATTAACCTTAGTTATAGAATATCCAATTAGGTTGATTAGAGCACTTACCTCATTCTTTATTGTGGGTCAATGGATCTATCATGAAATCGGGCTATATTGGTGTATCAGATCATATTCCAATAGTGGGAATCTATTTGGAACACCCTAGACATTCTATTTTGCCGGATGTGGAAACTTTCCCTCCGGATAGTCCGTTTTAGGTGAGATTGAGTAACTCAAAAGGGATCTCAAACGGGAATAGGATTCTTCATGGTATCATGAGCTGACAAACTTGGAACATCATTCAGCGGTGTATTTTGCAACTAGAGGGAAACAACACCCAAGTGACTTTCTCACTATAGTTTCAAAGAAACTTTCTTTGCTTTGTTTTGTAGTTGATTAGTTAATTCAAAATTTGATTCACTAGATAACAATAGTCCATGAAGTAATAATACATTTGCCGCGCAGGTTGATAACAAAGCGTCACTTCCACTATACTACACCCGATCATGCTTGCACTTGGCCACAATTGGGATAGTAGTGCCAGTAGGAATGAGTCAAGTTTTTGGTTCTGTTGCCTAAGATCATGACAAGTTATTAGGAAAAATGGACTATTTGTTACTCTAGTTTTGTTTTGTGTAGTGTGTTTGTTTTTTTTTTGTTAAGTTATGTAGGTGTATGACCTGGATCAACCCAGAAAACTTGCACCCAATCAAGCACAACATCAAATGTACCTTACACCATCTAACAAGGAGAGAGAATTAAGGAAAGATTGAGAGAGGTTAACCACCTATAACCCTCTGAAGCAAGAAGAATAAGTAGTTGAAGTTGAGATCGAATTTGAAGCCACAGTGGAAGGGAATCAAGTTCACAATCAAGTTAAGAATTAAGAGAACAATGTG